CTGAACAGAACTAGGAGGGTTTTAGGGCAGTATACTATATACTGACGTTAATATTATCAGTAAAAGTACAGTTTTTATACAAAAGACTGGGCATACCCCATTTTGAATACCCTGGGATGTCTACTTTTTCAAATGGTATGCCATGATGGCGTAACTTACATTTCTTGGCTGCCATACGGTCTCAAAGGCAACCTAAGCCCAGCAAACCAATCTGTGAAATTTCTATGTAAAAAATAAATAAATAGACAAGATGTATATTTGACCCTGTAACTTTCAAAAACACCAAAAACATGGGGGGTACTGTTTTACTCATGAGACATTTCTGAATACAAATATGTATGTTTTATTGCAGTAAAACCAAACAGTATTGTGACATTATCAGTTAAACTGACATGCAGAAATTGAAAAATATCAACATTTTTTAAGTTTTTAAACTTTTTTAGATTTTATTCATATAAAATGGAGTTCTATATATGAATGTTTGATATGGAATGAAAGCCCTGTTTCCCCTGAACAAACCAATATATAATAAGTGTGGGTGCACTTAGTAAGAAAGAGGTAAATTATAGTTGAACAGACAGAGAGTCAAATTCTGTGGTTTGTTTACATTTTTTGATCACAACTTGTACATTTGTCTCCGTCCTTAAGGGGTTAAATTCCACTCACAAAATATTCATTTTGAAAGGTGCTTTCCCATTGTGTTTTCGGGGGTCTATTCCACATTTTTTTCCTTGATATTCAGCAACTATCATGCATTTTCTCCAGCAAACTCAGAACACCAATGAAAAAAGGTATTTTTTAGATTAAAAATGTGTCAGACCTTGCCAAAAACAAGGTCCTATGCGTATTGTCTATTTGTATATACAAATTTCCCTATAGATGTTTTGTAAAAGAAGATTAAGAGGATAAGTCTAAGGGGTATCTGGATAAAGCTCAAAGCCAAAGAGTAAAAGCATTCACTATAATTGTAATATAGGTTATATTTGATATACATTGCATATTTTATGTTTGGTGCTTCCACATACCATGCATACTTTATCTGAACAGTTTTTGTTTACCTTCCAAGCGATCTTCAGTAAGAATAATAAAACATTAGTTTTATATGACTTGAATGGTGAAAATTATAATTCACCTAATATTGATAGAACATCAAATACAGCAGCGTGAACAAATAAATGCTGCTCAACAGGGCTGGACTTATATATATGTTTGGAAGTATTGTATGTGTGAGGGGCCCAGTGTGTTTCCGTGTGCTGTGTGTAGGTGTGAAAGGTGCAGCATGTGTGTGTGTGTTTGTGAGGGGTGCTGTGTTTGTGAGGGTGTTGTGTGTGTGTGAGTGTGCTGTGTGTATGAGGGTGCTGTGTGTGTTAGGGTGCTGTGTGTGTGTGAGGGTGCTGTGTGTGTGTGGGCTTCCCTGGTAGTCCTAGTGGAGAGTGAGCTCTAGCCTGTGGGGCTGAGCGTTGCCATGGTAACCGCGGCAATGCTCCGACCTCGCAAGAGGAACACGGCAGAGCTGCTGGCTGAAATGATCCTCATTCCTCATGGCAAAATTGAGCGGACAAAGCAGAGACTGTAGTCCTTTGCAGTTGCAAGAACCTAATTGCAATAACAGGTCAATGCTTGACAGGGTGCACTCGATCTTATCATGAGGAAGACAGGACTGCATATTAACCGAGTTTAGTTAAATACCCAGGAAATGTATTACCGTGTCTGGACCTTCTGTCTTTTTTGGGGAGACCGGTATACCCAGTGTTGCTGGTGAGAGTTGTCTTCAATAGTGAGAAAATCGTCCAAATAGTGAATAACAGTTGGGCATCTGCACACAGTTGCAACCAGCAGGGCCGGCATCAGGGGGTGACAACCATGGCGGGTGCCCGAACGCTGATGGGGCCCATCAGGTGGCTCAAGCATTTAGGGTCACCTGATGGGTTCTATATTTTCAGGGTTCAGGTCAGCACTGTGGCCATGTAATAGCTTGATCGTGCTCCTTTAAAAATATAAGTCTTCTGCAACGAAAAGGTAAGAAACAGGAGAGTAGCAGAAAAACTAGCTGTGTGTGTGTTTTTGTATGTATGTATGTGTTTCTGTATGTATGCATGTATGTGCCAGTATGTATGTGTCAGTATGTATGTATATGTATGTTTTTCAGTGTGCATATGTCTGTCTGTATGTATGTGTGTGTCTGTATATCCTTATGCATGTGTATGTGTTTGTATGTATGTGAGTATGTGTCTGTGTGTCACTATGTATGTCTGTGTGTCTGTATATGTGTTTATGTCTGTTTCAGTATGTGTGTCAGTATGTATACCTGTATTTGTGTACGTCTGTTTCAGTATGTGTATCCGTGTGTCAGTATGTGTGTATGTTTGTGTGTGTCTATCTGTGTCCTTTTGTATCAGTGGTTGTGTCTACGTTTGTGTCTGTGTGTGTATTCTGTGTCAATGCTTTAGTGTGTGGGTCTATATGTGTGTGTATCTGTGTCTGTGTATTTGCATGTGTGTCAGTGTATGTGTCTGAGTATCAGTGTGTGTGGAAGTGTATACACTACACACAAATGCAAACCTGCAGTCAAACACCAACATTCACACACATGCTCCATACAAAAACATGCTTACATTCAAACACAAATTGTGTGTGTATAGATGAAAATTTATCCATACTTACCGTAATTTTCCTTTCCTGGTCATAGGCCATGGCAGCTCAACAATGGGTTAGCTCCTCCCTATCCCTAATTAGACAGGAACAGAATTAAAATCAGGGGTATAAATACCCCCTCCCACCAATGGTCCTTCAGTCTTGTTAACAGCAATATCCCAGGGCGGGATCTAAGTGCTGCAATGGCCTATGACCAGGAAAGGAAAATTACGGTAAGTATGGATACATTTTCATCTTTCCTGGCCATATCCATGGCAGCACAACAATGGGTAATACCCAAGCAATAACCAAGGGAGGGAATAAAGAAAAAAAAAAACACAGACTCAAGAATATTTTAAATGCTGGTGTATTAGAAATCACACGTGCAATAGAAATCAATCAAGAAGAGTTGACTGCGGATAAGACTGATTTGCCAAAAGAGTCTGATTGGCTGGCTTTAACGTCAATCTGGTAATGCTTTATAAACGTGTTTGGAGAAGACCAAGTGGCTGCTTTGCAAATCAGCTCAGGTGACAAATTAGCAGCTGCTGCCCAAGATGAGGAAAGGGACCTCATGGAGTGAGCCTTGAGCCCATCAGGAACTTTCATCTTTGAAGCTTGGTAAGCCTGAACGATGGCGGCAACAATCCATCTACTGATGGCCATCTTAGAAGCCTGAAGCCCTCTTCTGGGGCCATTGGGGATGACGAATAGCCTTTGAGAGATCCGCCAGGCTGAAGATCTTTGTAGATAGAAAGACAGACATCGAACAAGATCTAACGGAGAAGGCAGAGGTTCAGCATCCTCAGTAGAAGACTCCGAATGAAGAGCCGGGAGTACTATTTCTTCGTTGATGTGAAAAGCTGACACCACTTTAGGACGAAATTCGGGAACAGTCCGTAAAATAACTCTGTCCTTATGAAAAACTGTAAAGGGCTCTTTAGTTGATAAGGCATGGAGTTCAGACACTCGTCTACCTGAGGCTAAGGCCACCAATAGAACCGTCTTAATGGTGAGTAACTGAGGAGAGATGGATTCAAGAGGCTCAAAAGGAGAATTGCTCAGAGCTTTTAACACCAAGGGAAGATCCCATGGTGGAGCGAAGGGCTTGATAGGAGGCTTGATTTTCAAAACTGCTGCCATAAATCTGATCACGTCTGTGTTCAAGGCCCATCTTTGATCCGTAAGGGCCGAAAGAGCTGAAATATGTACCTTCAGGGTATTGTAGCTTAAACCCTTATCAAGACCGGATTGTAGAAATTCAAGGATCTCCTTGGTGGAGATAGACTGAATATTCCTGTGGTTGGATGCAGCCCAGGAGGAAAAAACGTCCCAGATTCTGTAGTAAGTGGAAGATGTAGAACGTTTCCTTGCTTGCAGTAGAGTTTCAATGACAGAATGAGAAAATCCCTTGCAGTTCAACCTTTCCCTTTCAATCTCCATGCCATCAGCTTGAGGGAGGCAGGGTCTGGGTGGAGGACAGGACCCTGATGTAGAAGGGAAGGAATATTTGGAAGCTGCCAGGGGTCTGCACTGCAGAGGCTCAACAACAGAGGAAACCATGGCCTGCGAGGCCAAAAGGGGGCTATGAGGATGATGGATACCTTCTCCTGCCTCAATCGTCTCAGATGAGAAAAGATGAGGGGTGTAGGAGGAAATGCGTAACTTAGGTGAAATTCCCAATCGATTGAAAGAGCATCCCTTCCTGATGCTTGGGGATCAATGTTTTTTGAAAAGAAGTGCTGCACCTTCCTGTTCTTGTGTGTTGCCATAAGGTCGACTTGTGGCATGCCCCATACTTGAGAGATGTCTTCGAACACCTTGTTTGACAGACTCCATTCCCCTGGATCTAATTCCACTCTGCTCAGGTAATCCACTATGGAATTCTGGACTCCCGGAAGATGAATCGCCGATAGGCCCGCTAGATGCTTCTGGCAGAAGGACATTAGGGGCTTCATAATGGACATCATTTTCCGACTCCTTGTTCCCCCTTGATGGTTTATGTAGGCAACTACAGTGGAATTGTCTGATCTGATCTTGATCCACTTGAAGCGTATGAGGGGAAGGAGAATTTCTAGAGCTTTTAGAACTGCCAAAAGCTCTAATTGGTTGGAGGGAGTCTCTGTTACTGGAAAGGACCATTTCCCCTGGATAAACTGATCTTGTAGGTGAGCACCCCATCCCCACTGGCTTGCGTCCGTGGTAATAACTGTCCATGTGATGTTCCCCAATGGAAACCCTCTGAACAGGGATTTCTTCTGTAACCACCAAATCAGAGATTGATGGACCTGAGGGGGAATCTTGATAGGCTGAAGTGGACTTCTCGATCTGAATTGAAGGATGAAATTCTTCTGGAAAATCCTCATCCTCCATTGGGCCCATCTTGTCAGTCCGATGGTGGAGGACATTGATCCTAACAGGCTCATGCATCTTTCTGCTGAGGTCACATTGGATGCCAACATGTCTTTGACTTTGTTCATCAACTTCGTACCTCTTTCTGGAGACAGTTGCACTGTGCCTGCTAGAGTGTTGAATATGGCCCCCAAATATTTCATCTCCTGAGCCGGCTGTAATTGGCTCTTGTTCTCGTTTATCTTCCAACCATGACGGCGTAGAAAACGTAGACAAACCTGCCATGGGTCTGAAGGGTATCTGTGTCTTCTGCCAAGATGAGGATGTCGTCTAAGTAATGGTAAATGGCTATGCCCTTTTTCCTGAGCTCCGCAATCAAAACAACCAAGACCTTGGAGAATGTTCTTGGAGCTGTGCTGAGACCAAACGGCAGGGCTCGGAATTGAAAATGCCCTTGTTCCACCGCAAACCGAAAGGAATTTCTGATGTTCTGGAGCGATGGGGATGTGGAAATAAGCGTCTGCCAAGTCTATAGAAATCATCCATTGGTGTGGAAAAACGACCTTTATGATGGATTGAATAGACTCCATCTTGAACTTCCGGATGAGGAGATGCTGATTTAGTCTGCTTAAGTCTAAGATAGGTCTCCAACCACCTGAAGCTTTTCTGGTGAGAAACAGGTGAGAGTAAAACCCTTGACCTTGCTGTCGCTGAGGAACTGAAATGATGACATTTCCTTCCTGGAGTGTCGAGATGAAATCTTTTAAGGCCTGTCTTTTTTCTGCATCTCCTGGCCATTTGGTCGTTTGAAAGGAGTAAGCTGGAGGGGGTCTGAAGAATTCTAAACGATATCCTCTTCTTATGATATCCAACACCCATTTGTCTGTGGTGGATAGTTCCCATACGTCTTGGAAGAGTAACAGACGTGCCCCCACACCTACTGACTGGGGGGAAGACCAGTCATAAAGATCTGGGGTTCCTGTGGAATGAGGCGCCTCTAGATTTACCGCCTCTGGTAGATGACTGTCCACCTCTCCAAGGCTGGGATCTACCATGCTCTCTTCCTGGCTTGAAAGATCTGGCATCTCGAAAGGAAAAATAGTCTGGATATCGTTTGGATCGAAAGGAACCTCTGGGTTTACGATCCTGCGGGAGAAAAGCTCTTTTGCCTTCGGCTGCTCTTTTAATACATTCATCCAGGTTTTTTCCAAACAACATGTCGCCGTGGAAAGGTAAGGCACCTAAACTAGATTTAGAAGAGGTATCTGCTATCCAGGACCTTAACCATAAAGCCCTTCTGGCTGAAACGGAGAGGGCCATATTTCTGGCAAAGGCCTTAACCAGATCCACCGAAGCGTCAGACGTAAAGTCTACTGCAAGCTTTATATCTTTTAGACTTTCCAGAAGACTGGATCTGCTCCTGCCTCTTTGGATGTCTGCCTCTAGATTTTCCATCCAGATCTTTAAAGCTCTGGAAACTGAAGTGAGAGCGACTGCTGGATGGAGGCCTGTGCCTGCAGCCACGTAAGCCTTGGCGAGGTTCAGATCCATTTTTCTATCCATGGGATCTCTAAATGAACCTGCGTCGTCAACCGGTAGAGTAGTGTGTTTGGCCAGTCTTACTACGGCCGCATCTACCTTAGGAGCCGAATCCCAACAGCTGGAGTCTTTTCTCTCAAATGGATAAAGACGAGCAACTCTGCCTTGAGATGTCAGTTTTCTACGAGTATTAGACCACTCGTCATCAATCAGCTCCTTGATTGTCTCATGAGCTGGAAATGTGGCTCTCTTTTTCTTCAGATCAGAAAAATATCTACTGGAAGTAGAAGGTTGCTCCGAGGATATTTCCTTGAGACTCAAGGATTTGCGCACTCTGGATACTAAATGATCAACTTGAGCAGGCTCCATGAATTCCTGGGCATAAGATTCTTCTTCTGAAGAGGACAGCCCGTCCCTGTAGGAGTCCATGGACTCATCTGAGGATTCTTCCTGAGAAAACCCCAAGGGTTCAGTGAATCTGGGCCTCTTGTGGGACTTCCCAGCTTCTCTGATGCCCTGGGAGACCGCCTGCTTGATAAACTCCATCATATCTGGAGTAGGGGCAGTAGTAGAAGCGCCAGCGGCTGTAGACAGGCATTCTGCGCAGAGACGTTTGCCTTCTAGTGGTTTATTGCTGCAGGCTTCGCATCTCTTCTTCATAGGCGACTTGCCTTTGGAAGTTCTGGATGCTTTAATTCCCGTAGAGCTATCATAATAGGGAAATACAATTAAACCAGGCACTCTTTTGTTTGGTATAGATAGAGAGAGAGAAAAATAATGGCTTACCTATAACCTTTGGATTGTGACCTTTGTTTATGAACGGATGCCTCAGAGTCTGATGAGAAAGATTTGTCCATCTTCCCTGTCATAATATAGGAAGGAATTGAAATATTTATACCCAAAAAAGTATAAAAATTCAATTTGTGAAAAAAGGGGATGTGCCTTTAAGAAATAAAACCATACCTGAGTTACAGAAAACTGGAGGCTTGAAAATAAACGAACAAAACTGGAACAAAAGATGCTGCAAGAGCTCCCCAGAGTCCAGGCAACCTGAAACAGGTAAAGAAATTTGAATTTGGCGCCTTTTTAAAGGCGGCGAATGACGTCACCGATGACGTCACCGCGAACCCGGAACAACGCCCCGCGCATGTGCGCAATTACTCCGCGCATGCGCGGAACAACGCATGACGCGCCCTCTGATCCGCGCATGCGCGGAAACATCCACAGACGCAGCCACCGGTCTGCGCATGCGCGGAAGAAGCCATGACGCGGCCGTCGGACTGCGCATGCGTGGGAACCGGGGATGACGCGCCTGCAGCCCGCGCAGGCGCAGAGCACCAGGAAGCCGGAAAAAGCCACGTAAAATTTAAAATCTTTAAAGGGAAAGGGGAAAAAGGAGAGAAAGAAAAAAAAATGCAAAATACAAAATCCTTGGCACATACAGAGAGGTGGAAGGGGGAAACCTGACAGCCATTAGTAATCTAATACATAAGAAATGCATTTAAACTTACTGTGCCTGCCAGGTAGAGGTAAGAATAATCTTCTGAAGATGAGGTTCTTCTGCCACTTCCTGCTACCGCTTGGTTACTGCAGGGAATGTTCCTTACTGGCAATATTTTTGCTTGCTACCCCTAGGGTCACTGCAAGTGGCTCCCGGTCACTAAAGGAGCATCTCCAGGGGGATATCCTTTGCGCAGGGCCACCTACTGGAGACTTCCCAAGGAAGAGAGGCTGAACTCCCTTGAGGCCGAAGGTAAAAACCCTCAGGTAAGCCAAAAAAAAAAATATGTTCACAGTCTATAATGACTGGAGTCCTATAGGGATAGGACAGGAAAAAAAAAGACTGAGGGACCATTGGTGGGAGGGGGTATTTATACCCCTGATTTTAATTCTGTTCCTGTCTAATTAGGGATAGGGAGGAGCTAACCCATTGTTGTGTTACCATGGATATGGCCAGGAAATACATATATATATATATTGTGATAAAGTGAAGGCAGATAGGCCTTTTAACCCCAGGGGAAGTACGTGTAGTTTGTGTGTTGCACAACACAAAACACTGTTTAGTTATGGGCCCCTGGGGTGGAGCATTTGGAGAGAAGGGTGGGCCAATGCTCCACTCCACAGTTAGTGGTTTTCTGGGGAGACATAGATCCAGGCCAGGGTTTTTTGGACTGTCTCCAACCCACTGCACAGCTGCAGTTAATGAGCTGTTGCAGTGGGAATAAACTCCTCCCTGCTAGACAGGTAGAGAGGGATTGCTGGCTTCCTCCCAGGAAGCAGGTAGGAGAGAGAGGCTGTTCTCTCCAGATAGTCAAGGAGATTAGGCACTTGGAGTGCAGAAAGGAAGCAGTCAGGGCAAGGCTGGCTTGGAGCACTGGGAGTGCAGAAAGGAAAGCAGTCAGGGCAAGGCTGGCTTGGAGCACTGGGAGTGCAGAAAGGAAAGCAGTCAGGGCAAGGCTGGCTTGGAGCACTGGGAGTGCAGAAAGGAAAGCAACAGGTTAGATAGCAGAGTGTTGCTCTCTAATAAGGTTGGTGCAATATTGTTTTGTTTAGTTTAACCCTGAGAGATAGGGAACCTAACATCAGTTAGTGCTCAGACGAGCTAGGTTTTTGTTTATAAGGTTTTGTGTTACATTTATGTTTTTTCATTTTCTGCTGTATCCTGTGTGGATTTAAAAATAAAGTGCCTGGAGTATATGCATTTACAAGGACTGTGCATGTTTTTGCCCTAGAGGACCGTGCTACCTGCTGACAAGGATCACAATATGTATGTATATATATATATATATATATATATATATATATACACACACACACAATATACACAGTGCATCCACTACACACACATTGCATCCACTACACATGCACAAACACACACTGCAGCCAATACACAAACACACACTGCATCGACAAAACACATACCTTGAATCCACTCTACAAACACTGCTTCCTTGTGGGCAGATTTGGAGGTGGGTCGTATTGTATAGAAAATTCTTCTGAGGGTATGAGGGCGTTAAGACTAGGTACCGTGCAGGAATATGGTGCTGATAAGTCAATGATTAATCTGTTTCTTTGAAGATTTACCATTGACTATCCCAATAGGATTTGTCCTCAATGAAGTAAATAGAGGGGACCTAAAAGGCCAGAAAACAAATCCCTGTTCTAACTCAATCTTGATCAATTTATCAACCGATTCTGGATCTGCTAGCGCAGTCTGCAAATTAATGCATTCCAACTTACCAGATGGCAAGTGGATAATACCCATGTGAAAACCCTGTGACAACACATCAATGATAAAATTAGCCAAGTGTTGTGAGGGGTGCTACCATAACAGTTCAGCAAAACACATCACATTAAAACATGTGGGGTAGGGTTTGAGGATCATTTTATTTGGGCACATGGATTTAGCAATAGGATCAAACATGTAACAACCTACAAAAACTAAAACCACAAGTGCCACTATTGAAGTTATTACAAATGTGGTACTTGCCAAGAAAAACAATGACCCATCCCAGCTTATCTTTAATGACCTTATCTGATTTAGTAGTAGGGTAAGGAACTGAGTGACCCTGAGAAAATTCTACTGCGTTAGGGCACAAGTTTGTTGAGTGTGACACAGTGGCGTACACACAACCCATGGTGCCCCGGTGCAAAACAGATCCATGGGGCCCCCCACCCCTCCCCAATACACACATGCAAAATATTTTA